GGCGCAGAGTGGCACACCGTGTGGTTTTAGTCGGTCCGAGTCCGACACACCACCCCGCCGCAAACCCCGGTGGGGTGACGGTCCGAGGGGATTTCCACAAGTAAAAAAAAAAAACAAAAGGTTTGTGTCAAGGTTTCTTTCAAAAGGAAAACTTGATACAAACCGTATACCAACCCTATTTTTTTTTTTTTTTTTTTTTTTTTTTTTTTTTTTTTTTTTTTTTACGTGTGGAAATCCCCTCGGACCGTCACCCCGCCGGGGCTCTCGTTCGGCGGGGCGGTGTGTCGGACTCGAACCGACTAAAACCACACGGTGTGCCCTCTTTGCGCTTCCAGTGTAGGAGGGGTCCAGGTAGTTATCGCCTTCTGGACCCCTCCCAGCGCCGGCCCGCTCCTGTTGCGGGCCCCGTCTCTGATAAACCGTATACCAACCCGTCCCAACCCTAGTTTTCCTTGTTAATAAAGCATTCAACATAATAATATCATTGGAGATGTGTGTAACCCACTTTAGCTCGGACAGCATGTTTTGCAGCATGAAGACTATGCAGCTGCCGAGCTACATTCTAACAAGCTCATCAAGCACCTATTTGGCTTGGCATCGACTTCAAACAGGCTAGATGGGACTATTGCTGTTACAATGTTACCTGTTATATTGAGGATACTGATTATTTTTATTTCTTAGATTTGTAATTATTTTTTTAATTTTTAGTCTTTGTCAGTATTGTTTGGAGTCGGTTCAACTTTTTTTTTAAAGGATTTATTATCTTGCTAAAATATTTAAAAGCATAGTACGAAGCATATTTTTCATAAATTCCAAATTCTCCTACTGATCTTGAAAATCCAAAACGATGTCTTAATGGTAACACTGAATCTAAATTACAATGATTAATGTTTTAATTCAATTATAGCCTTATTTCGTCTTATTTAATACATAATCCATCAACTCAAAAGTTATTCTGCTTGATTTATTATGGTTTTGTGACCTTAATCGCATTCTTTCACTACGCATTTACCTATTGTGGCGATTGTTATTGTCACGTGTCGCTATGTTCAACACGGTTGGCACCACATTGATCACTAAACTGACGTTTGCTGAGTATATGGCTGTGGACAGATGTGCAGTGGCAACACTGGCAACGCTTTCGAGAGGTAATTACTACGAGTAATCTAGTGTACCTTATCAATATCTTGATTACCGTATAAATTCAAGTACCATTATATTGTTGAAAGAATTCCCTAAAAGTCAAGTCCCTTTCATCATCAGCTCAGCAATATGAGGTATTGACTACCAAACGCAAATACATGTATAGTTTGAGAAAAAACATTACATAAAAAAATTTATGGTTTTCTCTCTCGATTTCTCTGGAATCCTATCTTCAGATCCTGTTGCAATCAGACCGCCACCCTTTAACCTGAAGCAGCTCCTAATCGGCCCAGGCTCCGCATCCCTCACATTTCAGGCGCAGATTGGCACACTGTGTGGTTTAAGTCCTTTAGATTCTGACACACCGAAACGCTGTAAAAAAAAAGAGGTCTCTAGCGGGGACAGATCTCATCCGATTCCAACGACCAGGGTCCTATTTAATCAACGTTACAATCCGACAATTTTGTAAACAAGTGACATATTTGTAATATGATATGACAAGTGCTATTTAATAAACCTTACAATAATGTAAGAATTTTACAAATTAAAACTACAAATATAACCGTTAAAAACGCTGTTTAATAAACGTTTACATGGGCAAAAAAAACAATATTGTATCCACATTTTTGTAATTGTAAGTTACAAAATACATAAAATTTAAGTTTTGTTGAAGAATACATGCAGATTCGTTTTGGTGAGCATAAATTGTGATTAGCGAACCATCTATAATGCCTGCAATTCTAGATATATTTCATAAAAAATCTAGGGATAACGAGACATTTAGTTGGCCAGCGAACTTCTCCAGATAATTTACTGACCACAAACCTAGACACATTTTTTATGTAGTTATGTATTGTTCTTTTAGTCACACCATGTGCATCTGTTATAACAGTTTATTGTGGGCTACAGCCCATCCCGTGCAGTACTCACAAAATTAGCTGAGTAGGTGTAAGGGCTGCATTTCTCTTAGAATCTTAATCATGTCCTATCCTGTCCAAATATTCGACGGTAGCTGTTCTGCTGACCCGAAATTTTTCGTTGAACGTGAAATCTGACGCATCAAAAGTAAAGATTATCCTTTTACGAAAAACTTGCTGTCCGTTTATTCATATATTCATCATTGCTACTGTCACTACTTCCACTGCTAGTTGTTAGATCCATTTTTAAATGTATCTATATACAAATAAATAAAATTGTAGTCTTTTTGTAATGTCAAAATAATAGGTTTTTTCATGCTTACATGGTTATTTGCACTATACCTAAAACCCAAATTTAAATATTTATTGTTTGTCTGTCTTTCTGTTTGTTCGGGGGTATTCTTCAAAACGCCTGGACCGATTTTGATAATATTGTACTATCAAGCAGCTGTCTATATAAGGAGTAACATAGGCTTTTTTCTCTCAGAAAAACCCTATAAAATTTTACCTGGTCCGGGAATCGAACTCACTAAGGCAGCGCTTTTCAAATTCCACGCGAACGAAGTCGCGGGCACCAGCTAGTACCAAATAAATTTCTTCACTTAATAAATTGAGGTACAACATTGTTAAGTTCTGACACAAGGAGAGTCGGTCTGTTTTACAATTTACAAAATGTGTAAATTTGTAATTATAATCATGCATTTAATAAATAGTTGTCCTTACAAATATGTAAATTGTCACTTGTAAAGGGAAAATGTTTATTGAACAGAAATACGTAAAATTGTAGGAACAATTTTCACAGTTTTCCACCATGGCAAATGTGCAAGTTGTTTTCTGTGTTGTGACTGTAAAATACAACTTCAATTTACAATTTGTAACATTTATTAAACAGGGCCCAGGATCTCCTGTTCAGACGACCATAACATCCTCCTCCTGTGTATGTCAATCGTTAGGTGACGCGACCTTCCTCCCCACCTACCCATTGACGCTTCACCCTAGCACACGTGCGTGAGTAATGTCCTGGCTTTGCTGATCTTTACATGTTGAAAAATAAATATTATTTTCATTATTAAACATTTTATTTATCACAATAAATTATATGAATAATTAAATTTACATAGCAATATACATGCTTTCTCTAATTAACTAAGCCTCATAAATTTCAATTTTATTCAAACTATACATTATTACTACACATTACTAGCATGTTTGTCTTCATGCTTATTATTTGAGGTGCAATAGAATAAATACTTTATATTTAGGTGTTTCTGTAAATCAGTATATGAGTATAGTTGGGGTACCTACTTCATATTATAGCTATAATCTTATCTTAATTGTAACACAGAATATTCTTAGTTACTAAATCATATATATATAGATAATACTTTTCTATTCTAGTAAGAATTTTAAAATAAAAGCACCTAACTATGAGAACCTCACTTAAATGTATATTGCATAATCATTTAATTAACACAATAATGACTGTAGGCAGATCTCATTACTGCAACACTAAAATTAATTTAATAAGACTACACTATAACATGCAGACAAGGCTACAAGTAACAAGTTATTTAAATAATTTAGTGCTTATGACACTTTCTTCTTATTAGTTGATTCAGATTATTGTTAAACAAATATAAACTATCTTTTGTATAAAATAATTCAAAACATAATGAAGCAGTACTTCTATAGTTTGTAATTTTATCAGGGATTCCAAGGATAAGGTTACAAGGTTGTCACCTTCGTTCAGTGGTGGATGATGATCCAACACTTGTATGTCATTAGACTCGAACAATATTCAAGATGTCATGTTGTGATTTTAAACTGTGTCGTACAGAAGACATGTTTTGGCATTGCAATAATTCTTATTACTATTTCTGGATATTTAGTTTATTTACTCAAGATACAGTCATATTGTGATTTTAAATTTACTGAGTCACAGTAGATATGTAAGACAATCACATCAACAATTATCAATGCTAGAAACTAAATTCTGATATATATTTAGATCTAACAATAACTGCATTCAAGAAGCAGCAATGTTGTGAAATTAAATTAACTAAGTTATACAGAAGATACAAAGCTCCTAGCATTACAATAATTATCAGTGCTAGAAACTAACTTCTGTTATTTATTTATTACATCTTATAATAAATAGTATACTTATAAAAAATAAATTAGCTTTGTCTACATGGAAGATGCTGAAGTTTAAGGGGCGATTTAGCATCATATTGAGTGTAAAAATAATTGTGAATAGTGATGAATCATTGTGAATAAAGTTATAAACAAATAATAGTTTGGGTGTACATTGACTTTTAGTGCATTAATTTGTATATTCATGTAGTCTTTGCATCACAGGTATATATCTGAAAATTTAGATGTACATGTCAATTTAATTTAGTTGTGGATTCCATCTCCACCCACCACCGATAATTATGTGATGAGCATGATCATTTGTTCTGTTTCTGTGTATGACTTGTGTATTTTATGTATGTATCTGGAAATATGTAACTGTTTATCAGCAGTCTGGTTACCATAGTACAGGCCCTGCCCAGTTTAGGAGTGTTTTTAATTATTTCAATGAACTGTAATGTTTATTACCAAAGAAGAAGTTAGCTGGACTTCTTTCAATGAAATTCACATACATATATCAAACGAGTTCAGTAAGATTTGAAAATTGATAAAGAACAAAAATGGAATGCATATTATTCTAAACATTTTTATATTATCAGTTTTAATGTTTTTTAAATGAAACACCACTCACTAAAGTAAGCTGCAGTGCTCTCAGATCTCAGACATGTTAGTAGTAGTGTACTAAACCAGTTCAAAACAAATTATAAACATGATTATGGTTCGACTGAATATAACCCACAACTTTATTTACAAATAATACAAATTTATAGAGAAAATAATTTCTTACTTAGTCCTAGATATTTAGTATTATGGTGTTGGTGATTCAGAAGTATCATCTGCATCTGCATCTGCATCTGCATTAGCATTATCGGAGGCATCATTTCTTTGTATTGAGGCTTGTAATGCCCGCTGGCGTTTTAATATATTTGCAGCTTGCTCCATGACCATTACTAACTTATGTTGGCTCTCCAATCTGTCTAAGCAGATTTTACAAATCGTTTTTGGCAGTGGATCAGATCGTGAAACCTATAACATAAAAATATCAATAGGTAGTTATTTTTTGGGGACTACAAACATATGCAGGTATATTTAATTGTTATTTTAAAGGAATTAAAAGTATCACATATGACAACATGTGAAAAACGTTTTTAATCCATGATCATAACACATGGCAAAGCAGTAGAATGACCTAAAGTAAATTTTACGGCTCTCTACAACCCTTAATTCCTGCTAGATCCTGGTTCTTCAAACAAAAACATGTTAATAAGTCAGCCACCTCTACTATAATTCGTTTACGATTAGGATTTGTCAGTACCCCAGTTTTTCTTGCCAAAATTCGAGTTCGTGATCACTCTCTATGTAAGTGTGGTCTCGATGAAGGCACTCTGGAACATATTTTCTTTTCTTGTCCTAAATTGGTCGTACCTCTGTATGATCTACTCCCTCAACAAATATCCCGACCCGTTAATTTGGCTTATCTCTTAACTCTAGTATATACCCCATTTGTCAGGATCCTTTACCATTTTATTTGTATAAATAAAATAAATTTATAGTTTCCTAATACTCTTACTGCTATATTTTTTTCTACTGTCCTTTTTCTTTTTTTTTCTCTACTGTCCCACAGAACCACAAACAGAAACTATTGAAATCACAACAATTCCCTCTTGGTATTCAAAATATTTTCAACCTATTAACTAATAAATCTACCTCCCACCTAGACATTGGCAAAATCATCGACATCCGATGGAGCCACTGAATTAAAGGAAGAAGAAGAATCCATGACCAGGTGAAGCACTAGATGTAGTTACAAAATAAATAAAACTTATCTAAAATCGTACTTCCGTTGTAATGTAAGTGAAAAGGTTTTTTAATAAGTTTAAACTGGATATTTTATTATAGAATAAAACATACATTTATTGACAAGTATCTGCTTATTTTTTCTGATATACTTAGGCGTATTCCTTCTTCACTGTAAATATGAAGCACGACACGATGCATTTCCGAACACAATCGACAAATAAAACCAGTTAAAACAGCTCGATCTAAACTTCCCATTGTGTAAACATTAATAACCGTAATAGAAAAAAGAATTATGTAATTTAAATGTCTATAACTCTGTCTTCAGTATTTTAATTCTACAAATGTTTATGTGTACCAAAAATCTACACAATACATGTCATGTTATTATACAAAATAGTGATTTTATGCAACCAACAACAACTGAGTCAAATTCACAGATTACACTCAATCAAAGTCAGAGATATTATAGCTAGCATAGACAATTTAACTTTTAAGTTAGTAATATTTTACTGTTTGGATACATGCACTTGGACGTCTTCCACTTACTCAATATTAGAATCACTAGAAAGTGTCCTAGCAATAGCAAGGCGTAGCATTTTTTAACGTCATAGACAATTTCGCATGTTGTTAATGAGTGGCCAAGCTTACAAACCCCAGCAATAACATTACATTGAAACAAGTCAGTTGCATTCAGATTTTTTTAATATTATTGAGCATGGGGAGCTGCGCCTAGAACAGTCCTTTTAAGTGGTGGAACAAGTGGTGTAATAGAATAGCGCGGAATCCTAGCCGCAGCTTCAATAAACTTTTGTGGACAGTATCTTTGATGCAAATACTTAACAGGCAAACACAACATCATTGAGAACATTGAGAAGTCTACGACTTGCTAGGGAGCGCATTTAAAAGTACTTAAGCCGACCTTATTTATGAACAAATTAGCCACACCATACGAAAAAGTAAGGTGCCAAACAAAAGGCAAGGCTATTGTAAATTAATATTTTCGTTTTATTACTTCGAAATGCTTTACAATTTCTTAATACAAAACCCGACATCCTGTCCATATATGGTGCAAAAGTCAATTTTCTATCGAATGTTACACCCAAGTCACGAATATGTTCCACTTTATTAATTTTATCATTGTTGTAACACTTTTTAAAATAAAGATGCCTTCTATAATTGTTGCACCACAGAGTGAGTCTATTAATGTCACTTTGCAGAAGCTTAGAATCATCTTCCGACTTTATTAATCTAACGAATTTTAAATCATCTGCGAACATTGGAGTTTTAAAAACAGGTCGTGACGTCGTTTATAAATTAGTTGAAAAGAACTAGTAGGTCCTAGATGTTAACCATGCGGAACGCCCGAAGTAATTCTGAATCAAAGCCTACAACAAAAAAAATGTCTATCCTGAAGATATGATCTTAACCAATCAAGCAGAGCCAGAGATGCCCATGCGCTCGTAATTTAGAAAAAATAAAAAATTAAATCACGTCAGCTTGGTTACCAGTATCTATGGCGTTACTTAATAATTCGGTTAAGGGAACTAAATTTGATTTAGTGGATCTACGTTCTACAAACCCATGTTGATGGTCGCTCAAATATACTTCTAAAGGTACTTAACCTACATACTTAAGTTTTCGTGTAGTAGGTAATGTAGGTAATTTAAGAAAGTATTAGGGGTTAAAGTATGAAATTGCCGGTTTGTACTGAAAAATTGAAACCCGTTTTTTCTAAGACGTAACATTTATTTAAACAAAATATTTACCTTCATTATCTATACATTGCAGCCATTTAAACGGGAGTTATTTTTTGCATTTACGATAGAACTCTGGGGATCTAGATTCTACAAACTGTGTGAAAGCATTTTGTACTGCCTCCTAGGAAGAAATTTATTTATCACGTAGAAAACTGCCCAAATCATGAAAAAAAAAGGTAGTCATTGGAGCAAGGTCTGGCGAGTACGGAGGATGACGTATATTTTCTAACTGCAGCTCCTACAGGAGCGTCACGAGAAACCGTTGTAACTCTACAGAGGATTCTCATGCAGTGTGAGGTCTTGCGTTATCATGGACCAATAATGGTGAAGATCGATTCACGAGTCAGGGCTGTTTCACTGCCAGCTTCGCCATCATAGTTCGAAGTTCGACACGGTAAACATCTGCTGTTATTGCCTCATCAGACCTGAGAAAGCTATAGTGAATAACACCGTGAAGAGACCATCAAACAGTTCCCATTACCTTTTAATTGCTAAGCTTTGCTGTATGTTGCGGCGTTTGACCTGGGGTCAACCATTGCATTTTTCGATTACGATTATCGTAAACAATCCACTTTTCGTTACATGTCACAATTCGATCCAGTATTCTTTCATTTCTGTCCCGATTTAACAAGACAACATAAGTTTCAACACGCATTTCTTACTTCAGATCAGTCAAATCATGAGGCACCCATTTTTCATATTTTTTTGTCTTATTGATTTGATGCAAATGAATCAATATTGTAGGTAAGGTAACGTTAAAACATGCCGCTAATTCCTGGTCCTCGGATCGGCTTCCACCATCTCCTTCAATTCAGCATTAGTCTTCCACGTGGTTTGTTCTTCAAGTCGAAGTTTCCATTACAAAAGCGTTTAAACCAAAAGACTGACTAGACTACTAATGGACGCAGGTGCGTCCATTAGCAGTCCGCAAGCCGTTTTTGCCGCATTAGTTCGCGTCGGAACTCGTATTAAAACATGACTCGGATTTTTGAAGTAGCCATCTTTCACGTCAGCTAAACACAAAAACAATTAACAGTCGATATTCGAATGTTGCACATTTTTAAATAGGAAAAATATCATAGGTAAAAAATTTCACACGAAATGTCACACCATGAAGGTCCAAAGAAATAAAAATCATTTCTACCCTACAAAATATTGAAACTCAGTTTTCGCTTAACGTATGGCATTTAGAAGAATGAATTTTAAATAAAAAATAGTAAACAGTAAAACTTATTTTAATTTGCGTTAATCTATGGGTTGAGCTTAGTCACTAAAGCCGAAAACATTTGGCTCTCAGTTCAGCTTCTGACGTTTTAGTATGATTCGACTTTCATTTACTTTTTAACAACGAACTTCTATATCATTATTTCTATTCAACTAATTCAGAGGTATTTAGGTAAAATAGATTAAAGTCGTATTTGTTTTCCTTGAGATAAATTTATGTTTTCCAAACAGTTGAGACATTAATAAATGAATTAATAATTTATACTCATTTAAGAAATTCATGGCCTTTTGTTTTAAGTTTTTACTAATTTCCCTATAAATTTTATTTCGTTTCGCAGATTTAACAAATGGGCTTTCGATCCAGATGCATACAGGTTATTTAAGAGTAAATAAAGGGTTCCATACCTCAAAAGGGAAAAATCATCACGGATCACTTTGTTGCCCATCTGCCTGTCAAGACCCTTTATCTCGAAAACGCGTGGAGGTATCGTATATTTTCAAGAATATAAAACCATTAGTGGACAACTCCTTAGTTAAGACAAATGTGTTTCTGCTTTGTGGGCAATTAAATAAAACAATATGTAATATGTACCTTTATATTATTATTTAGTATGACTATGTAAATTGATTTAGTTCTTCTAAGAATGATTTGCATTTGTCTCTTAGTATTTTAACAGCTTCAACAAATATAACATTTGGTGGCATGGCTCCAACAGATTCCACATTAACTGAAAACAAAATGTTAAAATTAAAATTACATTTAAATATCGAAAAGTTATCTACATTAAAACGGTACATACATATAAAATGATCTCTTATGCGGCTTAATATTACTGCGTCTTTTATTTCGTCGTATCTGAATACATTTCGGCTGCAAGTGTCGTATCTGGCATCTCGGACATAAGCCCTTCCCTCAGAATCTAAACTAATGACACCGGGCGCGAAGCAACTCTGAAGCAATGAAGCTTCACTGCCGCGTACTTCACGCGTCAATGTTACCTCAGGCAATAGACGATAAGAGGCGGTGGCTGTAAAATAAAAAAGATGAAATAGTTTTCTGTTAATATTTTTCTACTTCAATAATCAAAATATTCTGTATGTAAACGAAAAAATAGCAGTTATGTTAGATAATAGTTAACAAATTAAAAGTCAATTCATTTCTGCTATACAAAAAGGAAACTTGTGAAATGGATAAATATTATAAGCACAAAACTTATGAGTAAAACTATAAGACAGAACATTTAAATTTCAGAGACAATTTAGCACATTTATAAGCTATCTTTTTAGTTCTAACATATACCTTTTGAATTCATGAGCAAGTCTAAAATCTCTGAGGGGAACTGGACTATCTATTTATACAGCAAGCTGTATTATATAATTTGACGTGTGCGTTACCCCAGCAAAATAATGTCGAAAATGGTCATTTAAACGTTATAGATAATTAGTTGCTCCCCTTCTGTAATTGTTAAGCACATTTTTAAATTTGTTTCACTTAAACTTTTTTAGTAATTTCAAAAAAACATTTCCTGCTGGGGTAACGTTTGAAACGTTACCGCAGCCAGACATTTTCTTTTTTAATTGTAATATTGAAATAAATGTTAGCTAAATAATTAGTTATCTAAACTAGGTAAATGTTACAACTTATTTGGTATTTGTATTTTCTTCGGCTGCGAAGTTATTCGAGATCCTGCTGGAGTAACGTTTGTGGGTTTGCTGGATCTCTGAAACGGGTAAGCGGATTGTAACCATCTTTTGTACATAACTTCTTAAGGATTAGTTTTAATTTGTTCGACAATAAAATAACAAAAATAATGGACCGTTTAAAAATTATTTGGGTAAGTATGAAAACACTTCAATACGTCCTAACACTTTGACTAAGACCTCTAAAGACTTACTTCAAACGTTATTCTATTGCTTGTAACTACCTTCAAATGTATACGAATTTTCGTAAGAATACTGTAAGTGACTAAAAAGTTATGATGAAATGTAGCTCTCCACGTTCACGATCACAATGTGTGCGGCCTTTTTTGGCCACCGATAAACCTGTGTGTGGATATATAAACTGAATGTTATGCCAATAATTAGTTGTTTAGTTCAGTTGTTTACCTGTAGAATTTCAGCGTCGTACATATAATAATTTACGAGATAATTAAACAAAAGTCATTAGAAGGTGCAAGTCCGTGGTAATCCGACCATGTTTAGGTGGTTACAAAAAAGCGATCACCCAGTACATTGCGCTGTCTTTTAAAATGTTTAGTGTAATACACCTTACGATTTCGGTACAGTTGCGTACAGTGTTAAGTACATTCAATATTTATTCAGTATTATTACCTATTATTTATTTTGTTTTTTTTTTCCGAATTGATCTTAAGCACTAGTTTCTTTACTTAAAATTTCTTTAGTCTTTTTAACTACCGGAGCTACAATCAACAGAAAATCTGCACTGGCCCGCTAAAATTATAAATATGTAGATACATGTATGAACGATTCACCTGACTGCATTAAACCAATAAGAAATCGTTTCATTTCTTTAATTTTTTTTTGTAAAGAAATAACACTAAAGTAATTGTATTTTATTTTGAGGTGTATAGAGCTTAGACTTGAATGCATCAAAATATTTAAAGCAACAAGTCATCTACAATAAGTTAAAATAGACCATAATAGTAGAAGAATACAGTTGTAAATTAGAATGCATCAACATTGCATCGCCCTACAGTCGTACCTCATAATATTGTTCTGTGGTCTATACCGAGAACCGAGAATTATCTATACCTATGTACCTACCGCTAAGCGTTGAGCCCGTGACTGTTGATTTCTGTTAAAAACGAACAGTTTTTGAATGATATTTTGATATAATAACGGTAATTTAATTTATCGAGTGAAAGTGATACATTTTTATAGATAAAATTATTGGTCAGATAATATTTGTCAATCAAGAATCGCCGATAATACATCCTTAGCTAGAACGCGGGAGGGGAGGGGCGAAGGGATACTTCATGGTTTGCAATTTGCATCTAGTGCACTAAACTTGATCCTTAGGCAGATAATATACCTACGTCTTGTAAAGTGCGTGTGCGCTTCCGCTTTCTATTTTTGCAAATATTTATCGTATTCTTGAGAGTTCTTCAATATGTATGTACCTAATTACTAGTAATAGGCATTAATGCTAATTAGATTCAATTTAAGTAATTGCGAATTCTTGTATTAGGATGTTAATTACTAATGCTAATATTTAAATTTCGTTCGGGGTGAACAAATTAAAAACGATCATAACTTGTAGGTAGGTATATCACTTATTACTAATTTTACATAAATAATTTATTTTATTATAATTTAACTCACCGCGATTTTGTGATCAAATATTTTATTTTCTCCAACATTATTACAGAAATAATGCAATACAGAGTTTGTTCGCGATATGCTAGCCTAAGTCGATTCATCACTTAAAAAAAGCCCCATCTATTCTCAAAACACCTATTTACAACGCATACGTTACACTCTTCAAAACTTCAATTACCTATACCTACCCTAAAATTAAACTTCAATTAACAAATACTACACAGGTACCAATTCTATGAACAACTATAAACAATTCACCTAAACATTACGAGAAAACAAAAGCATTCAAAACAATACCTAATCTCCCGGCTGATTACTAATTATTAGACTTGCAACGAATAGTATCTTCGGCAGTATACCGAATACCGAATATTCGGCGAGGCCCCTGACCGAATAGCCGAATATTAGGCAAAAGTATTCGGCTGGATTTTAGCGCCAAAAACTTGTACAGACGTGAATTAAATTATGTACCTGTTTTATGTACCAATGACTACTTAATAAATGATTATAAAAGAAATGAGAACCTTACCCTTCTAAATTTTGATTACCACAATAATTCAAATACATAGAATCCTCCATTTTTCCAATTCAGAAGATGATTATGTACCTGTGTTATGCACCAATGACTACTTAAATGATTATAACAGAAATGAAAATATGAATATATACGTAAGTAATCAATCGATTTTAGTTTTTCAATTTACCAATTATTTCTCAATGACAAAATATAGTATTTAAGTATTCGGTATTCGGCCGAATAATATGTAGATATTCGGTATTCGGCCGAATATAATAAGAGCAGCCGAATAGGCCGAATACCGAATAGTAACCGAATATTCGTTGCAAGTCTACTAATTATGCAATAAACAATAAATAAAAATTATTTAAAAAACATGTAGTTTTTTGTAACACTTATGTACATATCCGTAGTAAACTTGCAAATAATATCCTACATATTTCAAAAGCCAGCACAATGTACTGGGTGATCGCTTTTTTGTAACCACCTAAACATGGTCGGGTTACCACGGACTTGCACCTTCTAATGACTTTTATTTAATTATCTCGTAAATTATTATATGTACGACGCTGAAATTTTACAGGTAGACAACTGAACTAAAAAACTAATTATTGGCATAACATTCAGTTTATATATCCACACACAGGTTTATCGGTGGCCAAAAAAGGCCGCACACATTGTGATCGTGAACGTAGAGAGCCACATTTCATCATAACTTTTTAGTCATTTACAGTATACTTAGGAAAATTCGTATATATTTGAAGGTAGTTACAAGCAATAGAATAATGTTTGAAGTAAGTCTTTAGAGGTCTTATTCAAAGTGTTAGCACGTATTGAAGTGTTTTCACGAACAAATTAAAACTAATCCTTAAGAAGTTATGTACAAAAGATGGTTACAATCCGCTTACCCGTTTCAGAGATCCAGCAAACCAACAAACGTTACTCCAGCAGGATCTCGAATAACTTTGCAGCCAAAGAAAATACAAATACCAAATAAGTTGTAACATTTACCTAGTCCAGATAACTAATTATTTAGCTAAAATTTATTTCAATATTACAATTAAAAAAGAAAATGTCTGGTTGCGGTAACGTTTCAAACGTTACCCCAGCAGGAAATGTTTTTTTGAAATAACTAAAAAAAGTTTAAGTGAAACAAATTTAAAAATGTGCCTAACAATTACAGAAGGGGAGCAACTAAGTATCTATAACGTTTAAATGACAATTTTCGACATTATTTTGCTGGGGTAACGCACACTAATTTGACAACATGTTGTTTGAAGTGGTGAACAGGCAAAGATGTCAAGTTTTTCTCTTCAAAAATTTCAAGATGATCATGAGATCATCTTGAAATTTTTAACTCCATACTTATAGACATTTACATTTAATTACTTATGCACATATATTAGAAAAGTAAAGTTTATATTATTATGCAGTTGGGTAAAAAGATTACAATGTATGTGTGTGTATATTTATTATATGTATTTTTTTATATTTACCAACTGGTGAAAACTTAGCATGGTCTTTCCCAATGCCTTTGACAGCCACAAGTTGTAGATCAAATTCATGGCCAGGCCTCATTTTTGAAATTAGAATGTCGCCATGCACTGGACCAATATCCGCTTCCCTATGAACAGATGCTTGATTGCGAATGGGTTGCCATCTTATTTGAGATGAGTAAACTAGAAAATAAATTTATATGGTCAAATTTTAAAGAAAAAACAAGATATGATATATATGTATTTTTTTAAGTATTTTGATTGATATAAAATTAGTTTATAGTAGTATCACATTTCGATACACTGGAGAAAGACAGGTGCTGATACATGCATTAATGTTGGGGCATTTATGTATGTAATATAATAAATGATATGATATGTTTTAAAATAACTGCGAAGAAACTAATCTGACTAGTTGAGTATTTGATTGCACAACTGATATTACTTTAGACATTTAAATAATTTATTGTGTGAAGCTGTGGTATCATTTTGGTCAAGCCTGCCAGTTTGTCCCAAAGCATGGCTTTACCACAGTTTGTATACTTTAAGTGTCTATCACTAAAGTTGGTTTAAAATAGTTTGAGTAATACTGTTATGAGGATACACATACATAAAAATAATACAAAAACTAAAGATATATATTTTATGAAAGATGTGTCAGGTTGTTATTATATATTACTTAAGTAAGAATATATTTACTTATGAAAGAAATGTATAACAACAAAAAAAATTGTAATAGTAGTACCTAAGTACTAGAAAACTTTGCTGACTGTGAAAAAACTACTTTGGTGATTTGTAAAGATATTAATAGTATAAGTTTCCAAATGGAGTAAACCAAATTCTTACTGCTGTAGTTTTCATATAAATCTTCAGTTCTGTAGGAGTCTTTAGGTTGAGATTTATTCATGGTACATTTTACTTTCAGTGAAAATTCTAGTGTGTCAAACTCTGTTCCTTCTGTGGCATCTGAATGTAAAAAAAGTTTAGATAAGGTACATTAGTAATTGTTTAGACAGCAATCAATATATTCATGACTTAACATGTTCACCACCAAGCACACATTTTTTCCTTTTTTTTTGTAATATTAAATTCTGCCTGCTCCCTTTCTCTACTTTTTCAGGATGTGTATCCTAAACAATACACTAGCTTAATAAACACCTGTAAGTTCTCAAATCTCATCCTAATACCCCAGATCTAAAGTTTCATATTTTCTGAAGTAGTCATCCATCATATCTAGAACTCAAATACACCAGAAGATTGGCCCAGGCAAGATCTTTAATTTCTGCCTATAAAATGTGTAAAATCCGTGAGCATTAGTTTGTAGCACAATGTTGATACACAATATAATAACATGTGTACAAAAATGATACACTTGCGGTAAACATGTTAAAAGTAAAAAAAAAGTTATTTAATGTAAAAATGGCAAAAATATCCTTTGTTAGAACTCAGATTTATATTTTAATGTAACTCACCACCTCTTACATACCTTCAGGCCGATATTCAAACAATCTAGGATCAGCTTTCAATGGAATCATACCCAATCTATGCGCTAGAACTTCGTCTTGTATTATTGAAGTGTTATTACGAACCATAACTTTTTCAATGGCCATACTCGGTACTTCACTCAACATCAATCTACGAAACGCATTTGCGAAGGCCGGCTGTATACCAATTATGTCAAACTCCATTTCAAAATTATCCATTCGCACGATGACAATCCGGCAATTCTTAGTGAATTTTTTAAAACTCCATTTTTCATCGGCCATACCATAATCGTTTGGAGCATTCTAAAAAAATATTATAGGCTGAATTTCATTTAATCTATGACAGCAGAATAATTTTAATACCAGCGTTTTCTGAGACCTGTAGCAGGTTATAAAGTTCGTGGTATTTATGCTGTAGTTACAATATTATAACATGTTACAGAGCATAGAAACACTTAACTAATAACTTATCAAAAAGTCAAATACCACACACCTTCACACGAAATTCTTCTAAAAACACGCGAGGTTTTTCATCAAATTCTGGCATATTAAACTTTTTATAAATTCAAACTGGATACAAAATTATTGCACGTGCGAAACACTACACTGCAGTGTCAATCAATCAACAACAGATCAACGTCAAACTTGGAATTGGAACAGAGCAGTGCTGCAGTGTTGATCAGTGCTACCAACACTTAAAAACATTTACTCCTAAAGTTGTAGTTAAAAGAAGCGTTAGCGTTATAGTTTGTTTCGATAATAAATTTCGAAAATTAAAATAATCATTCAAAGATTTAAAACATCGTGCTGTATTGTTACTAAATTCTTTGAAGTCGGCACGCACCAAAAAAAAACAAAAACTGTACAATTCAATATACCAAGGAATATGCAAAATTAGATTACCTAAACCACACAATCCTTTGAACTTAACAATAGTGGCAGTTGCTTTTTTCTTCATTCGTTTCCGTATGTAACGATAAATAGCTTTAGATGTCGTTACATTTCGCTAAAATTAGGATTTGGGAATTAGTCAGATAGTAATTTTTAAAACCTGCATTTAGGAGAAAATCAAAAAGGTATTTTATGTTAATAGATTTTTTTATTGTTGGATGGAAATACTAAATATACTATATAACATTGTTCATTATAAAGATAAATCAATAGTCTGTAACGCTTTTCACTCATTGAGATATAAGATAGAGCAAGCTATCTCCATCTAGCCCTGTACTCTGCAGTGGCGTAGAGAGTGGTGTAGAGAGACAGAAAGATGGGGCCTCACGGCAAAGCTTTCTCTTTCGCACCTGGAATCATTCTATTACTCTATTCATATATCTCTATGTTTTTACCTAAACCTGACATTGTTTAATCATTGGTCTCTACAGTTTAAATTTGAGACCGAATAGCTTGCTACATTATACTAATCTGTGGACGCGAAAGAGACAAAAATGTTAAAAACAATGTTTTCTCAAAAGATATTTAAACTCTTGCCAATTTAAAAATATTATTTAAGAAATTAAAATATTAGTTCTTAGAAAGTATATCCAAAGTATTTGGTTTATCGCTACTGGCATTTTCAAGTATAAAAAACCATTTCTAGACAACTCCTTTTCAACCCCTCCAAAAAACTACTGTCATGTGTGAGTCATGTTTTATCTATGGTGGTGATGCAGCATGTCCACCATAGATAAAACATTATAAATCCAAAAGTGACCACTATAAGAAAAATGTAAGTCGCTATGTTTCGGAAAACAAGTGGAAATAATATATTTTAATAGTAAGAGTTTCTTTATCATGTTTTCTAACTAAACTAAGCAGAGCCTGTATTATGAAAGCTAGATAGACTAGATGACTAGATGACTGATAGACTGCATGAATACTTGCTTATATATATGCTTTTTTTGGTAAATCCGTATATGTATTTTATATACCTACAGAATATTTACAAACTCCGAGACAAACATTTTGCAGATCGTTCAAAGATTTTGTCCGACCCAGAAACCTAACTCAAAACCTCTGCATGGCAGTCGCTATCGCTACCACTGAATTATACTCCTACCAAAAATCATTCAACGCGGCTACAAAGTATTAAATTAAATTCTAAAATTATGATAACCCTTTTGGAATATTACTAATTCACTATACATAACAACAGAATAGGGAGAAATGACTAGTAAGTATTATATACAAAACATAGTAGGTACGCCACAATTCAAAGTAGTTTTGACTTGAGTTCATAAACTTGTAACACACAAAATGGCGAACACAATAATTATTTATTTTAGAAATAACTCAATGGCTTATTTTGCTGAAACAGATACGAAACAGAGATTCTTACCGATGTTAGACGAAAATTTTATTTTATTTAGATTATCCTTTATAATTTTTACGCACTTTTATCACACAAATAACACTAGTTTACAAAGAAAAAAAATGTTTTTGTTCATAAAATGAAACATATGTTATTTGTGTAGGCTATGGACGGTGGTTAAAAAAATATTTTTTTATTTTCCGTAGCACGTCACAATTTTGAGATATAGAGATCTTTATTTTGTATCACCCGTAATTGTTTAAATACGTTTACCGTTCTATTTTGCTAACCACTGTGTGATTCAACATTTTTATTTTTATGTAAAAATGCCATCTAGAGTGTGTAAACTACATCCAAATCGATTTTGTTATGTTTGTGGGCAAGTTGTTCAGTTAAATCGTGGTTTCCCTAAAACAAAACGTGTGCGTTACCCCAGCAAAATAATGTCGAAAATGGTCATTTAAACTTTATAGATAATTAGTTGCTCCCCTTCTGTAATTGTTAGGCACATTTTTAAATTTGTTTCACTTAAACTTTTTTAGTTATTTCAAAAAAACATTTCCTGCTGGGGTAACGTTTGAAACGTTACCGCAGCCAGACATTTTCTTTTTTAATTGTAATATTGAAATAAATTTTAGCTAGATAATTAGTTATCTGGACTAGGTAAATGTTACAACTTATTTGGTATTTGAATTTTTTTCGGCTGCGAAGTTATTCGAAATCCTGCTGGAGTAACGTTTGTGGGTTTGCTGGATCTCTGAAACGGGTAAGCGGATTGTAACCATCTTTTGTACATAACTTCTTAAGGATTAGTTTTAATTTGTTCGACAATAAAATAACAAAAATAATGGACCGTTTAAAAATTATTTAGGTAAGTATGAAAACACTTCAATACGTCCTAACACTTTAAATAAGACCTCTAAAGACTTACTTCAAACGTTATTCTATTGCTTGTAACTACCTTCAAATGTATACGAATTTTCGTAAGAATACTGTAAGTGACTAAAAAGTTATGATGAAATGTAGCTCTCCACGTTCACGATCACAATGTGTGCGGCCTTTTTTGGCCACCGATAAACCTGTGTGTGGATATATAAACTGAATGTTATGCCAATAATTAGTTGTTTAGTTCAGTTGTCTACCTGTAGAATTTCAGCGTCGTACATATAATAATTTACAAGATAATTAAATAAAAGTCATTAGAAGGTGCAAGTCCGTGGTAATCCGACCATGTTTAGGTGGTTACAAAAAAGCGATCACCCAGTACATTGTGCTGGCTTTTAAAATGTTTAGTGTAATACACCTTACGATTTCGGTACAGTTGCGTACAGTGTTAAATACATTCAATATTTATTCATTATTATTACCTATTATTTATTTAGTTTTTTCCCTAATTGATCTTAAGCACTAGTTTCTTTACTTAAAATTTCTTTAGTCTTTTTTACTACCGGAGCTACAATCAACAGAAAATCTGCACTGGTCCGCTAAAATTATAAATATGTAGATACATGTATGAACGATTCACCTGACTGCAATAAATCGAAAATTTAAACCAATAAGAAATCGTTTCATTTCTTTGATTTTTTTTTGTAAAGAAATACCACTAAAGTAATTGTATTTTATTTTGGGGTGTATAGAGCTTAGACTTGAATGCATCCAAATATTTAAAGCAACAAGTCATCAACAATAAGTTAAAATAGACCGAATAGTAGAAGAATACAGTTGTAAATTAGAATGCATCAACATTGCATCGCCCAACAGTCGTATACCTCGTAAGAGTAGGTAATATTGTTCTGTGGTCTATACCGAGAACGGAGAATTATCTATACCTATGTACCTACCGTCAAGCGTTGAGCCCGTGACTGATGATTTCTGTTAAAAACGAACAGTTGTTGAATGATATTTTGATATAATAACGGTAATTTAATTTATCGAGTGAAAGTGATACATTTTTATAGATAAAATTATTGGTCAGATAATATTTGTCAATCAAGAATCGCTGATAATACATCCTTCGCTAGAACGCGGGAGGGGAGGGGCGAAGGGATACTTTATTGTTTGCAATTTGCATTTAGTGCACTAAACTTGACCCTTAGGCAGATAATATACGTGTTCTAAAGTACGTGTGCGCTTCCGCTTTCTATTTTTGCAAATATTTATCGTATTCTTGAGAGTTCTTCAATATGTGTGTACCTAATTACTAATAATGGGCATTAATGCTAATTCGATTCAATTTAAGTAATTGTCAATTCTTGTCTTAGGATATTAATTACTAATGCTAATATTGAAATTTTGTTCAGGGTGAACAAATTAAAAACGATCATAACTTGTAGGTAGGTATATCACTTATTACTAATTTTACATAAATAATTTATTTTATTATAATTTAACTCACCGCGATTTTGTGATCAAATATTTTATTTTCTCCAACATTATTACAGAAATATTGCAATACAGAGTTTGTTCGCGATATGCTAGCCTAAGTCGATTCATCACTTTAAAAAATCCCCATCTATTCACAAAATACCTATTTACAACGCATACGTTACACTCTTCAAAACTTAAATTACCTATACCTACCCTAAAATTAAACTTCAAATAACAAATACTACGCAAGTACCAATTCTATGAACAACTATAAACAATTCACCTAATATTACGAGAAAACAAAAGCATTCAAAACAATACCTAATCTCCCGGCTGATTACTAATTATGCAATAAACAATCCTAAATAAAAATTATTTAAAAAACATGTAGTTTTTTGTAACACTTATGTACATATCCGTAGTAAACTTACAAATAATATCCTACATATTTTAAAAGCCAGCACAATGTACTGGGTGATCGCTTTTTTGTAACCACCTAAACATGGTCGGATTACCACGGACTTGCACCTTCTAATGACTTTTATTTAATTATCTTGTAAATTATTATATGTACGACGCTGAAATTCTACAGGTAGACAACTGAACTAAACAACTAATTATTGGCATAACATTCAGTTTATATATCCACACACAGGTTTATCGGTGGCCAAAAAAGGCCGCACACATTGTGATCGTGAACGTGGAGAGCTACATTTCATCATAACTTTTTAGTCACTTACAGTATTCTTACGAAAATTCGTATACATTTGAAGGTAGTTACAAGCAATAGAATAACGTTTGAAGTAAGTCTTTAGAGGTCTTATTTAAAGTGTTAGGACGTATTGAAGTGTTTTCATACTTACCTAAATAAT